CTCACATATTGTGAGATTACTTGGCATGTCAGGAAAGGAGGGGCGGGAATTTCTTCATCAACCAACCCTTTTTCTTGCTTCGCCTTCAAGTGGCCTCAATTCACTTCTCCCACCCGACTTTATCATGTTGCAGTGCTGTTGACCTCTGTTGAACGGACGTATCACGTAAAGAGAAACTGAAATGTGAGGAAGAACAGAAACGTAATGTGTAATTACTCTGTATGCTATTGTACCTGCTGATGACCATGGTGTGTCACTGTTCTGCCTGCATTTCAACTCTGCCCCTTCATTACGTAGAAATAGAACTTTGTTTTCCTATAGGATGTATAAAAAAAAGTTAAACTTCTCAATCCCAAAAGAAAGAATAGATAATTTTCTTAAACTGAACATACACTCTGAGTATCTCGTTTCAAGGAGAACATCAATAAATATTCGCAACATCTCATGCTTTCTTTGCCATAAAATTATAAATTCGCTGGTAAATATTCCATAATTTCTTCTTTGCCATAAAATTATAAATTCGCTGGTAAATATTTCATAATTTCTTCTCTTAAAAAAACTGTGTCGTGAAAATATGATCGTACGAAAATCAAACTTCGCCTATTGCGTTCTAACTATGAAGTCAGAAAAAAATAAAGATTTTCCGTTTTCGTTTTCTAATATGTTTCAAGAATACGTATATGAATATTTGTAACAGATTCTAAGCACCCGTTCTGAATTATTTTATGTATTCATGAAGTCGAGCCTACAAACTTCTACTCATCTAGACGTCGAAATCGCTCCCGTACTTAAAGGGAAGGTCAGGAATGGGAAGCCGTTGCCTCACTTGCAAGCTGGGGTTAGACGCTTAGCCGCTCATTCAAGTCACCTCATCTTGGCTGAGTCAGATCTCAACGACCGGAATACGGCTCGCCCGTGAAGAAATGCTATTAGCTAAATGCAACTTGTTCCCACGCACAGATCACGACTTTCCACGCGTTTTGGAAGCTAAGCACAGGTCAGGTTACAATCAGAGGCTGATTACCGACAGGGAAACGCCTTCTTTTCCTTCTATCCGCCCGCCCGAAGCCAAGACTTGTTGCTCAATAGGTCAAGATTGCTTCACACCTGTCAGTAATTTTGATAATATTAGATGTCATTAATATCTCATAAGAAAGGAAAAAGTACTTCAGTAGCGACTGGATGGATAAGCATTTACCTGATTATGTTCCAAAAACCTTGACCGATTTGAACAAAATTCAAACAAGAGGCAAACCATATTACAGTAGTAACATAACAAAGCGTTCAGGCAATACTATAAAAATTAATTGCATTTCGATGAACTTAGATTGGCCACAGTTACACCAACCCCAACGCATACCGTCGTACTTTAGAAGCTAACAGCTCAGCTGCCGAAGAAATTCCCCACCTTTTATGGACGTCGACTGTGCCAACCATACCAGTAACTCGTAACGTCTTCTTTTAATGAGATACGTCTCCCTGGTGGTGGTATTGTAAGAACGAAATATGTAAGGATAATATCATGCAGGAACACGTAGTCGACGTAAGCAATATCCAAAGGAATATGAAACTCTTCAGAATATTATACGTGTCTTGGAGACACTTTATACCCTAAGTAATATTATATGGTATACAGAATGTCCAAGAAGGAATTGTCAATAATCACGGAGGTCATAGTATCGGTCACTGTAAAGCAACAAAGTGTATATGTACATGTGCCCTATTCCGAACGGTTTCCGAGATAGAGCTATTTCACTATGCAGTAGTTTGGAATTGGCGTCCAATGCTGTCCTTTCCTACCGCATGTGAAGCGTTAGTTGGCCGTTGTGACTCTTCATAACGACAATGTACGAGTGTTGTGAAAAATGCCGCAGATCATCACAAATGCCGAATATGCTGATATGATATTCTTGCATGAGGTGCAAAGTGCATCGATGTTGACGATGAAATTTTTGAAAATGTATTTCTGTGATCTAGTGGTCAGCGTCCCTGATTACAGATCCAGAGCTCCGGGTTCGATTCACGGCGCTAACAGTTTTTTTTTTTCGGGGAAGTATTGGGTCTGGATCGGGGTCCGCTCAGCCTCGTGATGATAATTGAGGAGCTATTTCAAGGAAATAGCGGCTCCGGTCTAGAAAACCGAAGATAACGGCCGTGGGGATTCGTTGCACTGACCACGCGACACCCTCTATCCGCAAAAGTTGACACTAAATTCGCCGCAAGCGGCGGTCTCTCAGTCGGTATGGTTCGCTTGCGGACTGAAATCACGGAGTTTTTTCTTTATTATACTGGGTGAACTGTACCAACTTTGTCACTTGAACAATAAATACCGGTATTACAAACAGTACATAATCTCTCTTTCTTATCAAAAATTTTGGAACTGTACAGTGAAATAGCTCTATCTCGAAAACCGTTCGGAATAAGACACATGTACACATACACTTTTTGCTTAGAATGACCGATACTATGACCTCCCTGAATACTGATCTTACCTCATGGGACACCTGTATAATTTTTAACAGGTCAAATTTGTACAAACAGTCCTGTTCGTATCCACCTGATGAATCTGCTTCAGATTTGTGTTAACAAAGTTGCGAAACAGGACAGAAAATTTTGCCCATGCTGTAAATTTCTTCCATAGCTACAAAAAAAAATTTATACTATAGAATTTCTTGAATTAATGGTGCCCGTAAAATGTCTCTCGCTCTTGACAGCTGAGTGTATAAAATCAGTAGGATTCAAGGCGACCTGTTTCTCTTACGTGCATTCAGCCAAGTAGGAGACGTGACAAAACTATCCAATTATATCAGTGTTACCAACATAAAATCATTACGATACCTAACTCGAGTACGATCTTCTGGGTTATAACACCGTGTAGTTTGGAGAGAGTCAGAACTTTCGGAGAAACATATCGCCTCTATCTTCAGGGTCTAAGAGTAAGATAAGCAAGAAACTAGCAGATCAACTTTTATTGGTTTCTTGCTTGGTTTACTCTTCGACCCTGGGGATGGAAATGATGTGTTCCTCCGAAATGTCAGGATCTCCGAACTACACTGCGTTACAACGAAGAAGATTGTATGTAAACTTCGTAGTCATCCTCGTCAGGACTTCAAATCCAACAAATTATTTATATCCTTGATCACATTTTCTTTATTATTTCTTATAGGAGAGGTAACATCTTTTTAGCAAGTGGTCGTACACACCGGTGCCTTATATTCGTCATCACCTCCAGGAGAATGGGACGAGAGTTCCAAAGGCACTGAACTTTTTCTCTTCGCTATTCATCATTCACAATCATCCAATTCTTTATAATCTACGCTATAGAACTACTGAAGAACTTTCACTCTGAGCATGTCACTAATTCTGTTTACTCACAATTTCAATCGAGTGAAAACGTTTACAGATGAAGATACATACAGACAGCTGCAGGAAATTAATTCTATGTTTGATGCTGGCCTACAAAGTCCTGGAGCATTCAGCAGTATAAAAATTAAATCCCGCGACACAAAGATCAATCCTGTTTTCATAAAATAAAGAGATATCGTGTAAATTTAAATAAAAACATTTCTTCTCTTTACGCACTTACTGCTAAAGTTCTGTTTGTAGCTAATAATTAAACATGACTGATATGAGGTTCTCACAGAGGTGGTTATGAAAAGTCCAGTCTCTTGGGTTATAACGTCATGTAGTCCGCTGAAAGTCAACCGACGTTTCGGAGGGACATTCTGACTCCACATTCATCGTCGAAGATTAGGCCAAGTAAGAAACCAGCATGAAGAAGGTAGCAAGTAGAGCAAAGGAACATGCTGTCTCAATCTTCAGGGTCGAAGAATAAGGCAGTCTCTGCTTGCTACCTGCTTCATGCTGGATTCTTGCTTGGGTAATCCTTCGACCCTCAAGATTTAGGAAACATATTTCTCCGAAACGTCGGTTGAATTTTAACGGATTATAAGGAGTTAAACTCCAGAAGACAAGACTCCTCAACAATTAAACATATCAAAAATTGTGTTAAATGTCATTATTATATGTTACTCAAGAGACAGGCTAAGGCAACAAGTAACGTAAATACAGGCAGGAGAGTGGAGAAAACGGGGGAAAGTGTTGATCTTGCTTCCTTGTTCGAACACACTTAGCACATTTCCGGTAAGCAGCTATCTCGTTTTTCAAACTTAGTTACGTTAATTAATCTAAAGGTTTTCTTTCCAATATTACGCGTTGTAGAACTAAATGCGATTAAATAAACCCGTCAGTTTCCCATATAAACAGAATACGGGTCATGATAAACTATTTTTCTTGTTTAATTCGCCAAAATTGGTTGACTAATGAGTTTAAAGCAGTCTCGACCATAATTATTACTTGTAATTCTAATAAGATATACACAAGAAATAACAGAAGGAAATGCGCTTAACGCCACAAAACTATAGTATTCACCAACACATGCTGGGCAAAAAAGAAAAAGTGGATTATACTTCAAGATTTAAGATTAAATCATAAAATTAGGAAAAGAGTAACGACAGTATATAAGGAAGCGCAGCAATTTCGCTGAAACAATTTTACCGCGCCTGATGATGGCCAAATAGGCTGTAACATGAGTAAAATATGACAAATAAAGACATGCACCTTGAAATAGTTAACAGTTTTAAAAATTTTAATTTTGAATTTTATCACTTTTTTGTGTGAGATGCACAGAAGATGAAAGTGAATACGTGAGAAAAATTGTTTTGCCATCTTCACCTTCAGATTTTATAGGAGTCAGAAAGGCAAAATTGTAAAGTAAACAGAAGCAATAACTTCCTCTTCTTTCTACGTGCATTACTTTCTGGTTATATCACTGTGATTCGGTCGCCACAGCCTCATTAGCCGAGGGGAATACGAAAAATTGTTACTAACATTTCAACAGGATGTACTGTACCAGACGCGTTCAGGCTTTATACCACACATTCCTTTGTTGTCTTGTAGATGTAGGTTTTATTTAATACATGCACTATTATTTCACGCAGCTGTGGCATCAAACCTCAGACAAAAACGCCAGGAAGAGGAAGGTGATGCGGACGATCAGTCAGTGGACGAGCTATGCGAGAATCGACCACCTGATGAGTACTTCCGGCTGAGTACAGAGGGCGACTGCAGGGATGTCGTGAGGTAAAACAAGTTCTCTAATTAAAAAAAAAAGTTTTGAATGAAACTGCTGAAGCGTCACAAAACTGAATGCTAAAGATATCAGCGACTCCTTAAGAGTAGGTATACATAAAACACTACGTAGCATTCAGCAGTGTTTATTTCAACATAAATTTGTAACTTTACTTCTACTTAGGCTTAAATATTACCTAAGCATCCTCACGTACATAAGTTTCCAGCTCGTTCCGTTCCACTTTCCCTTAAATTTTCTTGCAACATACCAGTACCTAACAGTCTTGTATAACTTAAACGGACGATGTTACAAACAAAATAATAATAATAATAAACGTATTGTTTCTTTTTAACAATGTAAATGCACAGACCTCGAAATCATCTTTAAATTAAATACAGTACATAAAGGTACAACCGGTCACATAGCCGCGCGGTCTAAGGCAAGAACTGTCTTCGCTCGCTCGGACGATGGGATCGTGGGTTCGAATCCCACATAAGTCATGGATTTTTGGTGTGTGTTTGCGTTTATACTGTGTTTGTGTCGTCATGTGTGTAGGTAGCGGCCTTGCGACGGGCTGATCACTCGTCCAAGGAGTCCTACCGTCTGTGAAAAATGATTACGGATTTGAATAAGAGGCCTGTGAGCTGAATGCGCTGGAAGAGCCGTTGAAAGAAAACATAAAGGTACATGAATTTGACTCAAATGAACAAGACAATGCAAAGTTTCATGAACTCCATTTACGGCATATTAACATCCACATAAAACCACCATTCAACAGCAACTAAAAATAATTTTAGAGCTGGATAATGAAACGTTTCTTACGCATTTCTTAACACCTTCTTAAAATTATTAAATTTTAATAAAAAAAGATCACAGGTATACATCCAATTTAATTCTACAACAAACCATGTATTGGCAATATTGCCTATCGGCTTTTGTAATTAACATGATATTTTGTAAGAAGCAAGACTACCCATGGCAATATATATTCTGCTCCAATTAATTTAGAACATCGTATCACAGAACAGAGCATATGTGCGAAAACAATCTATGTAATCGAAATGGACCATTTGAACATGTGAGACAGAATCAGTAAATAGGTCACAAATGGAAGTACGACAGCTGTAATGGACGTAATAGGTTTTCTATGTGTATCACTAGGTTGCAGCACAGTCAAGCTTCAAGACAGTCAGGGTAGCAGATACGCATGCGCATGTTCACAGGCTGGTTTCAGCAACCAAATTGGCGACAGTACTAATGGGTGTACTACTGAAGAGCAAGAATGAGAGTTTTCAGAAGTATCAGGAGATTCCGCCTATCAGACTGGGGAAAACTGAAAGGAAATATATATATAGCCGGCATTAAAAATGTATTTCGTAAACGTGAAGCTAGGTCATTACACAGAAAAATAATAAATCCAAGTGAACACAGCCGACAACAGATTCCCAAAACTTGCATCTTGTTACAAACCAGAGGGAAATATAGATATGATTTAAAATACAACTAGAAAGGTGGAACAGACTTGAACCTAAGCCGCGGAGGGCAGAAAAAATAAGTTTCTTCAATGCACTTTCTCCTCAACGTGACAAATCATGTGATAAAACACTAATTACATAATGAAACTAAAGAGAGTTAGTATACCCGTAAAACATGCTTTAAAACATAACCACAGGCATACTGGGGCCATATTTTAGCTAAAGCAAGGCTGGGTGAACAACCTGAACTCTATACGAAGTCTCTGATATGGGTAGTACGCCAAGATTAGTGAAAAATCCTACTAAAATTCATCGGGGAACCATTTTATTCGTATCATCAAACTATATCCCTTCCACATCTTTATCTCATTCTCTCCTTTCTGCGTAAAACAACGAATTGAGTTACAGCTTTGTCCTCCCGATTACACAATTTTGAATACAAAGCTGCCACCTATGTTCAAGAGCACGGAAATTAATAAGTTGTTCGAAAGTCGTAATATAAACACATACGTGAAATAACACATACACAGTGACAAGTCGTCTATTATACATATACACTGGTTCATCGTGTACAGATATTTAATTAATCGATAATAATTTATGTATTTTAAGTCGACTCAACTGCGTTGGCGCTATGTAACTAAAATTTATACGTCGAACAGACAGAAAAATATAAAAACTGAAACTGACCTGGGTCATAACTTTTATAGTGGCATTTTACCCACATAAGAAGCAATATCTCACTATTATTATCCCATTTTCTGTAGTAAATCTTCGGTAAGGTGACCATTTTGTACACCGCGCCTAATTTTCCTTAAAATATGAGTAGTAACCAAGGAAACAAAGTGTGTGCTGCTGATTATTTTTAAAGCAGAATATTGTAGGCTTTCCTAAATGACAGCGATGTTAATTTCATTATCTCAGTCGAAATAAAAAAGAAATATATGCCATAAATGGCTTATGAAATATAGTTCTTACATTACAGTTCCAAGGATTACATAGTCGTGACTCGGTCACAAGGCTTTGTAAAAGAAAAGGGTACGCACTCTGTGACGTTGAAAGCGCCAGTTCCAATTTACATATAGTCAGTTTATTAATGGACAATTTCACATAAGAAGTAACTTCTGTCTCGCAAAAACGGAGTATTATGACGGAATATGACCATTTTCTAGGCAACGTTTCGGTAAACACATTCCCGGGGTAACGCAGTCAACAGGAGAACCACGGTTGCTTAGTAGCCAACGTTTCAGTAAGAATGCTTTCGTGACAACAAAACAATTTCCATGTATACGAAAACTGCAAGTTGTAAACTCTTAGAAACCAAACCGTTGCTTCAGAATTAACACACGGTTTCCGAGACAACGAATTCATGAAGAACCCTTGGAGGCGGTGATCTCTGTTCGGTTCTCTGGCAGTTACAAAAGGGAGCCCATTTCGTGATTTAGATTCAGACATACGTCAGACAGTTGTTCAGAAGGATTTCAATGTGTGAGCTGTTATAACGGACTGTAATTGTAAAGAACTACCAATAAACCCAATCATCAAATTCGGAACCCATTATTATTCGTCACGCTAACCCCTTTTACGTGACAGTATGTACACAATGTTTGATAAATAATGAAGATATAAGTTCAGTTCTGTTTCAGTGCCAACGTAAATTAAAATAAATACAACCAACATCTGGAAGAGTATGAAATTAAGCCAATAATATTCCTTCCACTTAGCAGATCATTCCTAAATTTCAGACAGCGGTAGCGGAATATCGTAACACCCTCTATATCACATACAGTATCAAAGACTAAACATGCCAAGTAAGTAAAGCAATAACATGACTCGCTTACTCGTATTTTCGGATGAGCCCGATTCATACCGCCATATACTTTTTGGGTTGGATTGAACTGACTGATGGATTACTGTCAGGTCTAATGCAACAGTTAGCAGGAGCTACCAGTTCGTCAATAAATCAAACCGAAACGTTATCTTAAACTAGAAACCGCCGCTTTGATCCCTCCTTCCAGGCGAATTTGGGGACAGTATTATGGAAAGAGATATTCCCAAAGGTTTCTGCTTCACACTGCAAACAACACTCTCATCCCGTAAGACACTAAGACAGTGGCTAACATCCAAAACTATGAGCCAATTTGTGTGTATATGGGTGCAGTACATAATGTGTACTGAACATACACTCAAAAATATACCTCGGCTTGAGATACTCTCCTTAATTTCGTAAATAAGATTTACGTGTTCTAGAAAACCGAGATTAACGGCAGTGGGGATCCGCTGCGCTGACCACGTGACATCCTCTATCCGGAGNAAATAAGATTTACGTGTTCTAGAAAACCGAGATTAACGGCAGTGGGCACTAACTTAGCCGAGAAGCGGCGGTCGTTCGGTCGGTAGAGTTCGTTTGCGGACTACAGACCGAGGAGTTTTTTCTTTTTTGTATTGGAATACAGACTAGACACTATTGGAGCAATTACCTTGCAAGGGGACCAGAGTGTAATTGAGATATTTGTGAAAAATCATGCATTTTCTCACAGGTGTGACCAGGCTGGGGAGAACGGTATTACTCGCCTTGCATCCGTCAGATGTCCTAACGGCTTAGCTTTTGATATAGAGCGTCAAACTTGTGACTGGAAAACCAATGTTAAAAACTGTGATAGAATAGAAAGTAAGTATTATTGTACAATCTCAGAAACACGTAAAATGTCGCCCATGGTACGTCTCGCTGATTACGGTGACGCGAACTTAAATCCTAGCTACATTTTTGTACCATACGTGTATAGTAAAAAGGATCTAGAACGGCCAAATTACAAACGAAACTGTTAGTTTCATTTGAGGTTCTCACATCGGCGACTATGAAGATTACTCTCTTCTGGGACCGTATAATCCGGTAGTCCATTAACGACGTTTCGGATGAACGTGCTGCCTTCACCTTTACAGCTGAAGTTTCGGTAATGATTTACCAATCTACATCCCGTCATACCCCAGAAGCTCAAATCTCAATTCTTTTATAGGTCTATATAAAACGGAGAAATTTGGAAAAACGTTCAGTTACTTTCAAGAAGTTACGATACCAAAATTTTTACTGCGATAAGAATTATATTATTCGTTTCATTCCTCATTGCTACATTATAGTCGGAATATATTTTCTTCCACGAATATATAATTTTATAACCATCTTTCTCTTCGTTTGGGAGCCGGGATAGCGCAGTTGGTATAGCGACTGGCTACGGGCTGGACAACCGAGGGATCGGAGTTCGAGTCCCGGTAGGGTCAAGAATTTTCTTTTCTCCACATCGTCCAAACTGGCTCTTGGGCCCACTCAGCCTCCTATCCAAAAGGTACCGGGGACTATTTCCTCGAGGGTAGAGCGGTCGGGGCGTGAAGCTGACCACTCACCTCCAACTTGTGCCATGGTGAAGAAAATATGGATCTATACATCCACTCCCCAATACGCCTCCATGGCGTAGTGCTTAGGTAAGCACAGGGACAACTTCACCTTTGCCTTTCTCTTAGTTACGTCCTGTCAGTGGACGCAATATTTCTCTTTCACGCACAAGTGTCTGACAAATATTTATCTCAAATACTAATTCTTCTTTGTTCTCAGATGAGATATGATTCATAAGTACTATCGTCACGGCAATGGTTCTTCTTTATTCGGTCACCAACATATTATTCATTAATCTTTAAGCGACTTAAATAGTTTGCGTACTCTTAAGGTCTATATTTATCAATTACTATGTCTTTATTAATGACGCATCCGAGACTGAACATGTGTTGAGAGCGGCTAGTGAAAAATGAGAGTAAACGTTTTGGATTAATACATTCTAATATTATAACAAACGAATTATTCGCCGCTGTCAATAATTGCATATCCGAGTACTGAAACATACGGTAGGAGTCAAAGAAACTGAAAGTCAGAAGTTGTGAAACTGAAAGTACGAGTAGTTGAGAAACGGCCGAGGGTTAATATAAACTAGCGATTAAGCCGAAACGAAACATTTAAAACAAAATATTTTAGCAAGCTCCGTATCTCGTGACATTTTACAGTTTCTGAATGTTTTAACACATAATAAGCTCCGTTTGTTATTTATTTTCTTCATCAGGTGCACAAAATCTGGTATAAAGCAAATCAGTTGCCCCTCCGGATTGGCTTTCGACGTTGATAAGCAAACATGTGATTGGAAGGGTAAAGTGAACAACTGTGACAGACTGGAGAGTAAGTGATAACAATTCAAGATGGAGGTGGAGGTCAATTCGACAGGAAATTAGAAGGGAAACGGAACAAACCTGCATCTCATTCACCTCAGTATTGTTCACTTTTTAATAATTACCATCATACGTACATTCATTATAATATTTGGCATTTGCAGGTTGAATTCAGATAAACAGATCAGAAAGGAACAATTTGTGCATGTGAAGTGATGCCGTGTGGAAGGGTTTTATGAAAGTAGTGGCTTATACTGTCATACGTAGAACTTTAGATATATTAGCTGTCCCACTTTTCCTTCTATAGGATACAAATAGAATATTTGAATCCGCAGCATGACTTATGCCTGAATGTCATATTGCTCTAAACTACTTTGCTGAATGCGGTTTTCGGTATCTTGTGACATTTACTCTTTCATAAGAACTAACATTCTTGGGCACCAATAACACACGGTCATGGGTAATACAATTATATTGCTGTGCTAACAATTCTATTAACCTTTCTCTCAAGAAACTAACATATGTTTACTCAGTGAAACATTAAATAAAGACTCCTATGAACAAAAGTCCAAATAAAAGAGATGGACTTTTGTTCGTTGTTACCATTGTAGTGCCATTAAAGTATCGCAACAAATGAAGGTTAATAACTTTAAACATAAAACTCGCCTTAACAGAAGTGTACAAAATGTAATTCCAGATGTGTTGTACTACATGTCAATTCTTTATTACTGTTGGTATATTTTAATGGCGACAGTTTATCTTATGTGAGTTAATTACTTTTGTGTGACCTATATAGTTAATTTCCTTGATGAATATGGTTTTGTTTCACAATAATCCTCCTCATTACATAATTAATAAATCAAGATAGTATACAATAAAATACTAAGTTTCAATTGTTCTATTTCCATCTTTTAATTTTCATTACAAAATGCACCCAAACTCAATTGCCTCAGAGCATTTCTCACATTCTATTTTAACTATAGAAATCTCTTGCAAGAGCTAACAAAAATCTCTAAGCGTTCTCTTCTTATGCACTCTTTGTATGACAAACTTTCACAGCAGAAATAAAAGAACTTCACTGCGTGTCTCTTTCACTGTTCATCTTGTGTGTTACTTATGTTTGTGTTTTCTATTTTAACCTTGAGAATGGACTTTTTACTTCCTTAGCTTTGCAAACTTTTCTATATTCTAGCTGAAATATCATGGAGAGGGGGGCACCCTAATTTAGGGCACTGTGATTCCTTTCGCTAAAGTATGCCAATGAACGTCACAGTTGAGTAGGCAACAGAACTGCTTCGTATTTGGGAGGTCATAGATTTATACCTCATCTAAAGAGTTCGACTATTCCGGCTGAGGGTTTTATGGTTTTTCTTAGTCCCTCCAGGAATATTACCGGATAGTACTTCGAAATAGGCCATGACCGCTTCCTAGCACATCCCTTCCAATTTATTATTTGTTAATCATTCGATATTGCATAATGTGCGCCACTGAAAGCGTCATTCAGTAAACAATATATCAACAAAGTTGTGAGGCACAGATGCAGAAAAATGCAACACGGTGTTGATCCGCAGAGCCCAGGAAGGTGCTGCCCATCCTCAAGACGGACGAACCCGTGTGTCCTGAGGGGAAGCTGTCCTGTGGCAACGGCGAGTGTATCGACAAAGAACTCTTCTGCAACGATAAGTTCGAATGCAAGGACCAGTCCGACGAGAATGCTTGTAGTAAGTAGCCTGGGTCTTCAAAAAGAACATTTCAACTTCTTCCTGACCAATATTACTAATCGCAGATGTGCGCATATATAAATATAATTTAAACGTCAAAATTATGTAAAATATTTTCACTCAAAGTTTCTTCTGTTTACTGTAACTCTCGATAAGAAGGGGACAAGTTAAATTCTGTCAAATTTGTCTTCTATTTTAATATACTTAATTTTGTTCTTCATAAACTTACTGTTACAAGCGCGCTATGTAGGTCCTAAATCAGAAAAAAACATATTATTTATGGGTCTACAGGGGTCTTTCCATCAACTCATTCCCTTCATAAAGATAGTTGATTTAAACTCTTCTTACGGATCATCAACGATATATTTGTCTATTATTATTATATGACAATTATTTTATTAACATCTGTCTGCAATCAGAATTAGGTTCATGACCACCACTGGATACCACTCTGACATACTTCAAACCACCACCAATCCGCATAACCCACTTCCCTAAAACTTAACCTAATGTTACTCTCCCAACTTTTATCAAGAGCTTTTCTTATTAAATTCTTGTGAGCATTCCGTACCTCCCCATACTAGCTATATGCCCAGTCCATCGTAGCCTTCCGTATATCACTATTCCAAAAATACTAAGTGACTTTTGCAAATCATGAAACCGTTATGTAGTATCCTACAATTTCCCACTTACCTTATGTTCCTTAAGCCAAAATATTTCCCTGCTTACTCAGTTTTCAAACGTTTTTATTTAGGTAGACCGCTTAGTTTCTTTCAAGTAAAAGGGCCCGTTTCACATCCATATAAAACATCCATCAGGTATTGTGTAAGTATTCGTGTTCTCTTCACCTCGGACGCCTCAAGAACGAATGCAAACCTAATACATAATTACAGTTTACAGCAGTGTTACAGCTCCCTCGTGAATGTATCGCATTCAAATCTCAAAACAAGAAACTCATTTGATATTCTGAAAATATATTCCCACTTTCAAGAACGCACTCATGTATTTTACAACGACCATTCGGTTACTGGTGTTCAGGGAACCGATAAATGTTTATTCTGGGAACGAAATGGATTCTTTAACGATGATGTGTAGCCATAAAGCCCAACTACTGAACGTGAAGGCACCACCGCCGATCACAGTGGCCGCGAAGTCTAAGGCATGAAACATCTTCGCTCGCTCGAACACTGGGATCGTGGGTTCGAATCCCACTCGAGGCATGGATGTCTGTGTGCGTTTATTCTGTATGCAGGAAATGGCCTTGTGACGGGCTGATACCTCGTCCAAGGAGTCCCAGTGACGATGGATGGAAGAACGGGGCGGGATTGGATGGAATGTGATGGGATGGGATTGACGGACGGATGGCACCACCGTCCTATGACTACTGGAAGCAACTTCTTGACAGTTTTTCCCTCCCATAGCCGTGGAGACAGATCCCAACAGGGCACCCGACTGTGACCCGAACCAATGTACTCTTCCGGACTGCTTCTGTTCTGCTGACGGTACCAGAATTCCCGGAGCCATCGAGCCAAACCAGGTAAGTAAATATAGTAAAGTCTCGTTTATATATATATATATACGTGTGATATGAATAATACCAACGTATTTAACATACAGGGAACCTCAAATTTGTAAACAATGAACCTTCATAACATCTAATTTGTCAATACGTGTCTTTTGTAGCAAACCCTGGTCACACCGCGAGTCACTCCTTACCCGATGTTAAGATGGCATCAGTTTGTTTCTATCTATGGGTGTCAGAATTAGTTTAATTCACGTTTCAATGCAGATTGATGGTATGACACAAGAATGCTTTCTGTGTGTAATTAATTATGGGAATTTAGTTCGCGATGTATACTTGGGCTCAAATTTAGTAAAAATATGAAATATTAAACTGACAATTTAGTTAAATTATCAGACAAATGTTCACCTATACGGACTTTACTATGAGTTTCATTTAAACACACTTTAACAAGCCTAGTAGTTTCATGGGTAACCTAAACTCTATGAGAACACTGTACAATACTTCCCTTCTAACTGAATCATAGGCTTTCTTGAAGTCTCTGAAGAGCTGGTGTATTGTCTCATGGTACTCATATTTTTTCTCCAGTATCTGACGAATGCAAAATTCCGATCAGTAGTTGATCTGTTACGTCGAAAACCACACTGATGATCGCCAATAATTTCATCTGTACGAGTATATGGATTTAACCTTGAGAGGAGGATACTGTATAATAGTCTGTATGAAGATGATAGTAGTGATATCCCTCGATAATTACTAGTCAGTTCCATCGCCTTTCTTGTAAATGGGTAAAATAATGAAATCCTTCCACTGATCAGGCAATTCTTCCTTATTCCAAATAGATAATCAATGAGTTTATGCACCTCAGACCGTAATATTTCACCTCCTGCTTGAATCACTTCTGCCGGAATTTGAACAAAAAACAGTAAGTCACTTTTAAACCATGATTTTAAAAGAGTTATCAGTGAAATACTATTCTGAATTACATTTGAACTACAGGAAATAATTAATGAATTATTTTGCATGCCTATTGTTAGAGCACTACTTTCCACATGCATTACAGCAAGACTAGCACACAAGAGGAGGCATAATTTCCATATTTCCTTAAATCTGTTGTGGTTTCTTTACATATGTGTCGTCCTGTGCTTTCTTTGCGCGTAATGCGCAAAATAAACGCGTACAGGTCTGATAGTGTGTCTATCTGCCTGCATGTTTCATTTCAAGAAAAGCTGGATGGACTTCGATAAAATTTGATATGGACTTCATGCCACTGGAGGCTACCCCAGTCTCGTGCTATTTAATTCCTTAGATCAGAAATACCAACATCACAGACGCACAAAACTGTGCAGTAGGAGCGACACTAGCGCCACGTAATATAGGGTCCTGAAATTCCGTATCGTAACAAATCTTTCAAAAATAAGAAACAGTTGTAGCTGTATCTTTCCTTTTGTAAAACGTAAGCAAATGAAATAGTGGCTGCATGAAATCTATAATTAGCCGTCAATTTGTTGATAGCAATAACCAACCGCTGGGTTTCGGCATGTGGAATTTGGTATGGAGATAAATCACACACATTCCTACAAATTCCTTGTTAGATATTGTTTCTCTGTCAATAATTTCAAGATACTGCAACGGTTATAATGTTATATGCGATATATTTAAAGTTCGTCTGAAGCATAAAATAAATAAGTAAATAAATACATACTTCCTATTTCTGAAATGTTCATAGAATCTATTTGTAAGAGTTAGGAGCATTCAGAATGCAAAACTGAAAGGGACTAATATAGAAGAGTCTGTGTATTCCAGTAAGGGCCATAGCAGCTCTTCAACTATGTCAAGCCTCAGACGAAAAGCATGCAAATACAGTATGCGCCAAAATTACAGTACTGAAATGAAAAGGCGTCCTGTTGATACCACTGTCTATTCATGTGAAGGCCCCTTGAACGACAGAACCTTCTCAAATCCTGAAGAAATAATCCTCATCCTCATGAAATAGAGGCCTAATATACCGTGTGCTGAGACGGCACACCATATAGTCACACGTGTACTGTGTAGCGGTTTCTGGACGATAACATCTGGCCGCTCAAAACCAAGGAAGCGAATTGCCTGGCGACCACTTCCGTATGAGCGAAAATAATACTCAACTATGAATACTTTTGCCTCCGTCGAGAGACCCATTTCCAACAACAACTGCACAACGCAACTTCCTTTTCACTACTGGGAACATGTGCGGCTGGAGCTATTGCCTATCGACAAACGCATATGCGCGAATTTCAGTATCGCATTTTGGCGCATACTGTATTAGCCTCATCCCAAACACTGTATAATTAAGAGATATTTAAAAGAACGAATATAACGTTTTGATAACAAACAAAATTTGATTTTCATGGTACAGGTACCTCAGATGATCACCCTGACCTTCAATGGCGCTGTTAACGTCGACAATATTGACCTATATGAGGAAATCTTCAACGGCCTGAGACAGAACCCGAACGGCTGTCAGATTCGCGGCACATACTTCGTGTCACACAAGTACACCAATTACTCAGCAGTACAGGACTTGCACAGACGAGGGCATGAAATCGGCGTTTTCTCCCTGACGCACAAAGACGACCCCAACTACTGGACTGGTGGCACATATGATGACTGGCTGGCCGAGATGGCAGGAGCCAGGCTCATCATTGAGCGCTTCGCCAACATCACCGATGGCTCCATCATCGGCATGAGAGCGCCATACTTGCGGGTGGGAGGCAACAAGCAATTCGAGATGATGGCTGATCAGTTCTTCGTCTACGATGCGTCCATCACAGCTCCTCTGGGACGTGTGCCCATCTGGCCCTACACTCTGTACTTCCGCATGCCCCACAAGTGCAATGGCAACGCGCACAATTGCCCCAGTCGAAGCCATCCAGTATGGGAAATGGTGATGAACGAATTGGATCGTCGTGATGACCCCACGTTTGACGAATCCCTGCCCGGTTGTCACATGGTGGACTCTTGCTCCAACATCCAGACTGGAGAGCAGTTTGCAAGGCTCCTCCGTCACAATTTCAACCGCCACTTCAACTCAAACCGTGCACCACTTGGCCTTCACTTCCATGCCTCCTGGCTCAAGAGCAAGAAGGAATTCAAGGACGAGCTCATCCGCTTCATCGAGGAGATGCTGGACCGTAACGACGTCTACTTCGTCACTATGCTTCAGGTACTTCCCCATTTTAAGCGTTATCAAAATCAGAAGTAAGTTATATCCAACTGCAGGCTGCTGTGAATAAGGTAATGAATCTTCAGGTTCTGTAAAGGAGGGGAAAATTCTTGCCAAGTTGAGGGATTATCAGCTTCTCAAGAAGGACTTTCCCTCAGGAACATAGTTCTTTGCAGACATACCTATAACAGACAGAAGACTTGGGGAACCTGTAAGTACCTATGAGGATAATATTAAAATGAGATCTTAAAGGAATAGGGTGTGTGAGTATGAACTGGATTGAACTAGCTCACTGAATGGCTAATAACAGAGCCATGTGAACACGATAATGTGACTCCGCGCTAAATAAAAACCGAGCTTATCAGTTACTCAAGAAAGACTCTGCTCCGTTAGTTAAGTACGTGGGAAGGCCTACTTCAGATGTGAAAGCTTGTACGTGAGATTCATACAGGTCATGTTCTATTTAATTTAAATTATTTCGAAGAATCTAAAATCGGTACCAATGAATTCGGGCACTGATTCGCAGCTTTCTTTGCCTCGCGACTCTGTCCTGAATTAATGCAGTGTGAGCCTTCGCTGATTCTTGCTGATGCAGGTGAAACATGGGCCTACTATGTAAGTGTGTTTATAAAGTTTATACTTAGCTGCCACAGTGACTATCGCCTGTGATTTCCATTCATCGCTTGAGAAACTGTATTGCAGGTATATCAGTTCAACCATCAGCTGTAGAAAGATAAATACATCCACAATGGCCAAACCTGAATAGTGGTCTCACCACATTTGCTAAATTTAATAAAACGTCTATGAATGTCATTTTGAAATATTCACCGCGTACAACACACAACAGAGTAAGCTCTCTGTAAGGTGATCTTGTTATGTTAATCCGCTTGACTGAACAGCCGCTAAATCGCAATATATCATGGCCCTATTCAATTTCTGAGTCCGTACAAAGGCATAACAATTACCCTGATCGTAAGTTTGGTAATAAGATAATAACTCGAGTGTATAAATATGGAAGAAAATAGTAATCTAAACCAACTAACAAAAAAAAAATTGAAGAGCGTAAATATACGAAATTAACTTAATCGGTCACAATATACTCAAAATCCCAAAGCATGGCGATTTTGACGAAATACTCGGCTATGGCGTTTTATATGCGTCTCAGTTGGATTGGAGTTATATTCTATAAAACGTCAAACTTCATATAGAAATAATTAGTCAGTGCAATGTATATACTGGAAACCTCTTACTTTGCAGAATCTATACTTTCTTTTTCATTAGCACGAAGCGCAGCTGTTCACGTTCAAGGGCCTATTCATGCTCCTGAAAACCGTTAATTAATACATTCATTAAGAATTTCCTTTGTGCTCACATATGGATGCTTTAATTCCAAAACTCATTTAAGACAAATGCTATTTAAACATGAAGTGTTGTATAGAATACATGGCAATGAATGCTGATTAAGAGTATTTTACAGGTTATCCAGTGGATGCAGAATCCCACTGAACTGACGTCACTGCGAGATTTCCAGGAATGGAAGGAGAAGTGCGACGTTAAGGGCCAGCCCTACTGTTCTTTGCCCAACGCTTGTCCTCTGACGACTCGCGAACTCCCTGGCGAAACCCTACGTCTTTTCACCTGTATGGAATGCCCCAACAACTATCCCTGGATTCTTGATCCTACCGGTGATGGCTTCTCGGCCAAATAAAATAATTATTGAGAAAAGTGGGTTCTTATTTGAACGTGCTGTTGCAAAACTAACTAAACCATGTGCAGTGGTTACAGAAAAGCTTGATTCCTGTGGAATATGAGGAACAGGTGAAGAAGGCCTTGAGGTAAATTATAATTCTCCCATAACTCAGCTGAGCGCTCAGAATTCAGGCTGTCCTAAATCTACTTCACAACAGGTTCAATCCTTCGGTTTTCGATTAAGAAGTGTACAATTTTATATTCAAACATCTCCGTTAGAAAATAAACTTTAAAGGTATGTTGTCTCTAAAAATGTAAAATAGAAGGATTTATAGAATAGTCTGCCCTATAGGAACGTCACGGGAAAACCCATTTACGGAAACGAACTGCTGTTACCACCACTACCGCCAAAGCTATGTGAAAGTGAGAGGAATGTTTACAGAATTGGTCCTAACACAGTGTTCTGCAAAGTAATCACAAGGCCATCAACTAGGAAAAAATACTGCGCAGTGGATATACAGGACGATGTCTAGTCTCTGCACTACGCTCTACTAATTATTCCTGTTCTTGTACTGCCCATACAGGATACAGGGAGGAAACAGGGGAATCAGGTGGGATCTACAGGGAGTACAAACTGTCAGTAATGCTGTTAGCTACGAAACAACTTTCTCTTTAGTTGTAAGTGAACACACACGTCGTCTTAATATAAAGCATTTATAGGTTCAGAGAGAAAGTTAAGAAGTCAGAATGACTGGCTAGAGAAATGTTTCCATTTTCGAGTTTCTGAGATTTACTTGCCAAGCTTTCGTTCAAACGTAGAACTAGTAAATATTGCCCTAAATGAATTGCTGTACTTGTGTGAAACAATAAAATGTTACTGATGTACATACTGTGATGGAAATTAAGTAATTTATTTGTAATGCTAAATAATATTAAAATTTCGGTGCGTGTGATGCTTGATTTATGAACCTCTGTTATTCTATGATAGCAGTTTGCGTAGTATGTTTATTTGTTGAACGTACATAAATATATATGTCCATTTTCATCTAATTTGTATCCAAACCTAAATTATTCTTAATATGTTATAATACGTTTACAACTATACCAGTAGACAGAGCTGTAGGTCCCCCCAAGCTACAAAATCCACGTTGAAATAATGGACAATAACTAACGAACTCCACGAAATAGCCCTTGAGAAGCTAACAGTCGCTCAGATGGTCAATAAACTACCGACCTTGTATGGAACCCGGATATATCGTGTTCATAAGAGATAGCTAATGGTCCTGCAATCAGGAAGCTGAATCAAGTCCACAATTTTACATATTACTATTTAAGGTCCGTTTTAATATTACCATTATAACTACTCCGAAGAATACCAAGTAGTCTCTTCCTTTCAGGTTTCCTGACTGAAGAGCTGTACACATTTTACATCATTACAATGCATGCTACTTGTCTCGCCCAGCTCCCTTTTTATCGTTATAATCACACCTGCATACATTGTGGCCACCAGGACGCCATGAAACCTGAAATTTTCGTGAGGGACTTAGAATTTTCTTCTATTTGTATAACCGTTAGGGCACATATGGAAAAGACGAGGGGAAAATAATTCCCTTCTCCCGATCTCATATCTTATTAGCAGCTTTATCTCTTTTCCTCATTTATACCTTATTACTACATATCCCTTTTGTTTGCTTACTCACTGCAAGTCTTACCCTAACTTTTGTCACCACCAGGTAGTGATCAGGATCACAAACTCCTGCCCTGAAAGTTCGGACATCAAGTAAACGTCAGTGCCATCTCCTATATATCAAAATGTGGTCAATTTGATTTTGTGTCTTCCCATCAGATGTCCAAGGATAATTATGATTGTTACGATGTGGGAACATTGTATTTTTGACCGTAAGATTTTTCGATATGGCAAAGTTTACTACTCTAACTCCATTATCATTACTAATTTCGAACAAATTCTCATTCCCAATCGTTGGTTTGAAAATGTCTTCCCTACGTACTTGGCATTGAAATTGGAATTTGTCAAATACATGTTCTAGTTCCTCGTAGAACCTGTCCTTCATATCACCAGTTTATCTTCTGGTGGGCCATGAACATTCAGAACGATATTACACCAGTGACCTCTTAGTATTATGCATGACGTCCTATCACTAATAAACTCTACCCTCTTAACTGCTGATACGATTGTCTTATGTACGAAAAACCCCGTACTTAATTCATGACTCTCATTCCCCCTTTCCACAGAAAAATGTATATTGCCTGCTGATTAGGTGCCACCTCCTGCACTCCCACTAAATCAAACTTATATTTTGAGATTTCTTCCGTCACTGCCCTATACCTGTACATACTTCTAACATTCCAAGTACCAAATCTCATGCCCATTTTCTTTCGCTTAGGTCGTTTGTCCAAGGAATCCTTCCAGGTCCGAGGCTTCTTGTGACCTTTCGTAACAAGGTTATTTTTCACGGTGAGGAGTTGTAAGGCCCACGCCCAACCCCCACCTCCCACGCTGGAGGACCACCCCTTGTCGGTAATTCACGACTGCTTATTCAATATATTCGCAGTTTCCCTCCATACGTGGATGGCGTCTCCTCCATCCTCAACCTGAGGATGTGGCATGCCGTGGTGACAAGGGACCCACTTAACATGGTCCAGGAAAACCAGGTAGGTCTGAAATTAAATGGGATACATCAGCTGTTGGTCTATGCTGATGATGCGAGTCTACTGGGTGATAATATAGGTAGATGCCATAAAGAAAAACACACAAAAAAAAACTCCGTGGTTTTAGTCCGCAAGCGTACTATACCGACCTAGCGACCGCCGCTTGTCGGCGAAGTTGGTGCCAAGTTAAGAAAAATACACAAACTTTAATTGACGCTAGTAAAGTGGTTGGTCTAGAAGTAAACGCAGAGAAATCTAAGTATATGTTGCTGTCTCGTCATCAAAATGCAGGGCAAAATCGTGATATAGAGATAGGTAAGAGATGAGCCGCGCCATAGCTCAAGCGGTTAGTCGCTGGATTCCCGGGTTCGATCCCGGGTCTGGTCAAGTGGGATTTGTGGCGGACAAAGTGGTGCTGGGGTAGGTTTTCTCCGAGTACTTCGGTTTCCCCTGCCAATCTTCATTCCACCAATTGCTCCAATCACCCTCACTTATCATCTGGGGCTGGTACAATAGGCCAGAAGTGGCCGCAGTACAAGGGACTTAGTCACACACCACTAGCAATAAAAAAAATAACATGTAAGAGATGTTTTGAAAATGTGGCACAGTTCAGATATTTCGGAAAGACGATAACAAATCAAAACCTGGTCCAGAAGGAAATTAAGGCGAGACTGATTTCGGGTAATGCTTGTTACCATTCAGTGAGAACCTTCTGTCTTCTCATCTGCTGTCCAAAAATATATACATTAGAATATACAAAACTATAATTTTGCCCGTGGTTTTGCATGGGTGTGAAACTTGGTCTCTGACATTAAGGGAGGAACATAGACTGAGGGTGCTTGAGAAAAGGTTGTTGAGAATGTTTGGACTGAAGAGAGATGAAGTGACAGGAGGTTGGAGAAAACTGCATAATAAGGAGCTTCATAACTTGTATTGTTCTCCAAGTATAATTAGAATTATCAAGTCAATTGAGGATGAGGTGGGTAGAGCATGTAGCACGAATGGGAGAGACGAGGAATGCGTATAGGATATTGGTGGGAAAGCCAGAAGGAAAGAGACCACAGGGAAGACCAAGGCATAGTTGGGTGGACAATATTAAAATGGATCTTAGAGAGATAAAATGGGATGTTATGGATTGATTGTACTAGCACAGGACAGGGACCAGCTGAGGGTTCTTATGAACATGGTAAAGAACCTTCAGGTTCCATGAAATGCTGGGAAGCTCTTGAGTAGCAGCACAATAGGCAGCTTCTCAAGAAGGGTTCAGCTCCATGAGTGAGTGATCATCTTTGGTTGCCCAGCCTATCATCATTACTCTCACCCTTCCATCCTCTGTAACAGGCCGTGAAGGCCCATAGGGTTGTGGGACATCGAGGTTCTCACATCATCTAGCCAATTGGCTCACAGATGGCAGTAAGGTTGTCAGCCCTACACACTGGCTGCCCTTTACCCCACCAGGAAGATTCCTGGTACTCATTTCTGTTAGAGGCTGAGTGGACCCCAGGGCCACAGTCCAGCTGGAAGGATTAGGCAAACTGAAAAAATCCACACCACGACTTGAACCTGCGACCTTCTGGCTTGTCGCATAGTGCCTCAACCAACTACGCTACCGCATGCCCCCCTTAATTCTAAATACAATCTTATTCCTGGATAAACTGATAATCATGAAAAGTATAGAAGATGAACTGCAAAGAGTGGCATATATGTACACTAAACAATAGAGCTATTAAATATAATTTGGAGATTTCGGCAAAGAAGACAAAGGAAATGGCTATGAAAAGAAAGATGAATGTGAGAACTAAAATAGTGATAAATAATAAAATAATAAATAAAGTAAATAGTTTCAATTACTGAGGGTATACAGTGATAGTAATACACAACAGATATTTGGAAATGAAAATGAATAGATTTAATCAAATGTGCAGAATAATAAAACACTGAATAACAAGACAAGAAAAGAGACACCATATTTTATAAAGCTATAGTGGTACCCACACTTATATATGGATCCAAAATATGGACCACAACTATAAAAAATAGCAAAAATTGAAACTGCAGAAATGAAATTCATCAAGAGTGTAGATGGCTACACAAGGGACGACCCAATAAGAAATACATAGTAAACTCTGCAAAAAGCTGAATATCTTTAATCTAACTGATAAAATTATAGAATCTAGATCACAGCGGAAATATCACATGCAAAGAATGGAAGACAGATGGATTAGAAAGAAAATTCTAAGAAACAATCCAAAAAGAAAACAAAGCACGGTATGCCCAGAGTTAAGATAGAGGGATCAGCATACCCCTCAAAAGGACAGAACAGACCATGTATGACCTAATACACGATGATGATATTCTCCCACAACTCAGGTAAGGTAAAATACACCAAATAATTTGGAGGTCTATTCCAGTTGACTTGTTGCCAAAATTTCTCTCAACCAGCAATTTGGGGGAGGATGACAAAATGTTTCTGCTATTTTTCTGGTGATAATGGCGAAGTCCATGGCTTTGTACCAAATCAGGTTGAAAAGAAAAAGCAGAACTGAATTAAACTAAAATCAAAATCTGATCAGGCAGCTTGTGTCGGAATTACTACAATGGAACACTCTGTTCGACAATAATTTCTATCTTTGCACATATCCTACTTCAAATTATGATGCAAAGGCATATTTTTGGAACTGGCATTGACTAACAGATTGGTTTTCAAAACATCGACAGGTTCCAGGTATGGAAATTATGACGAAAAAGAGAGGATATCTAAATGTAGAGGGAGTAGTGATGGGAAGGCAATTCCTATGAACTGGCTGGGCTATGGGAATTCTTCTCTTACATCAGCTGTTTTAATATTATGAAACACTCAATAATCCAATTACAATCCAACTTCCACATTGTGGGTTTCTGGATTATGACATCCTGGAACGTGGTTATCAATGTATCAGAGAGATATACTGCCTCAATTTTCAGAGTACCCTGAACATCATCACCATCACAAAAACACCATATCTCAAAAACCTAACAGTTTATATTGGTATAAAATGGCCTGAGATCTGAAAGCAACACATTCAACAAGCCGTTTTTGGTGGTGCCATGCAGTGAACTTTTTTTTCAAAAGGCACAGAAATTAATAAGATATTCACTAACGACATGTAGCTGAACCTTTCTAGAGAAACAGCCAGTTGTGCAGCTACTCACAAACTCTCCAACATTTTACAGAACTTGATGGTTCATTACCGTATTCAATAGAGCCTTCCATTGGTCTCTATCCTGAGCCAGATCAATCCAGTCCACTCCACC